ATATTAATACTTGAACAGGTGCAGGAAGGCGCTTTAAATGAGGTAAATGAATAAAATGTCCCAGAGCACAACTGTGTGTGCTGACAAAAAGTCAATGCCATGAATAATTCAGCAAGCAGGACTGCCGGCGAGGTCGGCTCTTTGACCTTTGTGACAGGAAGTGAAAGGAAACACTGTTGACTAAAAAAAAAAAAAGGGGGAAAGAAAGAAAGAAAAGAAAATCTCCACTCTGCCCGGACTCCCATCCTGCAGTCACTTTAAAGGTATAAGCCTAAAACACGCAAATGACTCCGAGTGGGGCGGGGTTGCGGTGGTTTCGGGGCGCACAGCAGAGGCCATGGTCACCCCACTGAAAGATAAATGTGAAATTGCGGGCAATAAGAGGTTAAGCAAATAACACTCCTTTACAGCCTCACGTCAATTATGTATAAAAATTTGAGGTCAGCTCAAAAGTATTTCAGAACCCACAGGGTTGAAATTTTCTAACAGCTGTTCAATATGACAAAACTTCACACACACACACCACCTTCCCTCCACTCCCCCCACCAAAGAAAAGGAAGAAAAAAAAAAACAAAAACTAAAGCTATTCCAAACTCTGTATGAAGGAAAATGGGATAAACAGATGTCTGGCTTCCAGACAGGAAAGTAGGACAGACTTGGAATGATAAGTCCCCCAAACTCTATAGACTGGTGCCAGATTTACTGGGGAGGGGGCACTGCCTGCCGCAGAGACGCCAGCAAGCAGGACGCAGGAGACGGTGCCATCTGGAACCGCCCCGCCGAGCTGCTCCAGGCACCCGCGTGCTGCCCACCCCGCACACCCAGCCCCTGCGTCTGTGCCCCAGCAGCCGCCCACCGCCCCCCACTCCACCCCAGGTGGCAGCGGTCAGTCCTCACAGGCCGGGCACACGGGGCAAGGCAACAGGATGCTGCTTCTTGGGAAGCAGACTGGCACGGCACAGGCAAGCAAAGTGAGCCAATGCGTGGGTCTGGTTCAGCGGCTCCGCCGACATGCTGTAATCACTCGCAGCCCTTGGAATGCACGCTGAAACAGGAGAGATTTATCTGCTCCTAGCTGGGAGATGTGGACAATGGTGTCCCTAACGAAGACCAGCTGCTTTAGTGTTTTCCCAGAAAACATTATTCCATGAGGAAAATGATACTCCCATGCTCTGCATGTGTGTGCTGGGCCGTGTGCATGTGTGTGCATGGCTGTGTGTATGTGTGTGCAGGGCCGTGTGCATGTGTGTGCTGGGCCGTGTGTGTGTGTGCTGAGCCATGTGCATGTGTGTGCAGGGCCGTGTGCATGTGTGTGCTGAGCCATGTGCATGTGTGTGCATGGCTGTGTGTATGTGTGTGCAGGGCCATGTGTATGTGTGTGCAGGGCCATGTGCACGTGTGTGCAGGGCCATGTGCATGTGTGTGTAGGGCCATGTGCATGTGTGTGCTGGGCCGTGTGTATGTGTGTGCTGAACCATGTGCATGTGTGTACATGGCTGTGTGTATGTGTGTGCAGGGCCATGTGTATGTGTGTGCAGGGCCATGTGCACGTGTGTGCAGGACCATGTGCATGTGTGTAGGGCCATGTGCATGTGTGTGCTGGGCCGTGTGCATGTGTGTGCTGGGCCGTGTGTATGTGTGTGCTGAACCATGTGCATGTGTGTGCGTGGCTGTGTGCATGTGTGTGCAGGGTTGTGTGCATGTGTGTGCTGAGCCATGTGCATGTCTGCGCTGAGCCATGTGCATGTGTGTGTGCATGGCCGTGTGTATGTGTGTGCTGAGCCATGTTCATGTGTGTGTGCATGGCCGTGTGCATGTGTGTGCAGGGCCGTGTGCATGTGTGTGCTGAGCCATGTGCATGTGTGTGCTGGGCCACATTCATGTGTGTGCATGACCACGTTCGTGTGTGTGCATGGCCATGTTCATGTGTGTATGGCCACGTACATGTGTGTGCATGGCCACGTTCATGTGTGCACAGGGCCATGTTCATGTGTGCGCAGGGCCATGTTCATGTGTGTGCACACGTTCTCTACCCCCATCAGGGCAGCTTCCCTTCACCTGCTCTTGGCCTCCACAGGCCATGTCTGACAGTCTGCTGTGCTGTCTACTCCCTGGCCAGACTTCCTACCTGACTTCCTAAGCTGTTCCGTTATTGCGGACACACAGTGGCAGAATTCCATCTGAGGAGCTATTTAAAAAAAACAAACCTGTATTCCTGGCAATGTTTTATCAGAAAGCGTAGAAGGCCTACCCACTGAATTAAAAGGGCTCTGTTCTGGGTGCCACCTTCACTTCGTCCCCTTTTGCTAACTGAGGCGTCACCCATGCCACTCCTAAGTATGAATGCTTCTGCAGCAACCTGCACTGTGTAATTGATTGACACAAGGCACCGTGTCTCTGCAATGACAGCAAGGAGCTCCCGTGCCCGTGCCGCATCCAGGCGTGGGGCCGCGCCGTGTGGGTGAGAAGCAACGTGGGCCCATTGATCTCAATTCGGGCTGGAATTATTGGTTTATATCCTCAGGACAAATAGGCCTTATCTGGTCAGAACCTGCTAAATGCATCCGAGGCCACAGGAGCAGAAAGCTCAAGGCACATCATTCTTTCTTACGCCAACTAACCGAGGCGCGCCACCACCAGCACCGACCCCTGTACCGCCTCGCCAGCCTGCCAGACGCTCACTGTTGGGGGAACCCACGCGCCCCAGAAGGGCCTGCCGATATGAAACCGAAACACATCTCCGCTGGCCACGTGTGCATCCCTTGCAAGGGCAGTCCCTCCTCTGTGCTTCCCTGCCCCTGCTTGGCACTACGGGCCCTGGCAAGCACTCCTGCCTGTACTTTCTTCCCCTTTTACAAATGCGCCTTAAGCTGGAGCCAGAACCAATACTGCCATCATTCCACAGGGCTTTACAGCAAGCTACAAAATGCTAATAGTTATTTTGGCGTTGTAAGTGACAGCTCTCGTAAGCATTCTAAAACCATACGTCGTGTTTGTCATTACATGCAACTATTCTTACCTTAAAATCCCTAACATGGAAAGGTGATTAAAATCCCTATAAAATCGTCCATCTCTTTGAATTTAGAATCAGAGCAGATTTTTCATCAATAATTAAGACCTCCAAAGCATTTCTACCAAGCACAAATGGAGCCTCAACCCTCCTTATTCAAATAAACATGGTAAACCCATTAACCAAATGTTTTCACATTGTCCCCTCCCCTCAAGCTTCTAGAATATCAAATGGTCACACGCTTCTCCTCGGCCAGAGGTCTGCATGGTCCCAGCACATAGTTTAATTAACCAAATGCAAGGCAACAGTGACCCAGACAAGAACTAAAGAACAGATCTCTGCACAACTGGAGGGAACAAACCCCCGCCACCCCCACCCCCTGTGATTAAAAACCGACTATCAGAAGTTACTTGCTAGCTCGGTACTCAGCAAGCATAAGCCCAAAGTGATTCAGGGAAGACAGCACCCAAAATGTGAGTCGATCCAACACGGCTACTTCATTAGGAAGGAATGCTAAAAATCTCGCAATTTCAAACCCCAAGTCGTCTTCTGAGATTCACCAACACCACGCGCTCGACACGCGTGACACAATCTGCCTTTTCCACGCTCTCCCACTCGCGGGATTCCAATAGCTGCTCAGCCACTTCCAACCATCAAACATAAACACATACAATGAATTCTGTGATAACAATTCAAGGCTGTGATTTCCATAGCCACACCACCAAACACAAATATGATTTACATCGATTTCTTGTGGTTGGAGCTCCACAAAGTGTTGGACTTGCTCTCCAGTGCCTGAGTGACGGCCACAACTGGTCAACCCTATTTGATTACTAATAAGAGAGTCGCCCCTTCTGTCAGATACCGTACATTCTCCACTAAGCAAACAGCTATTCCAGCTACTCAAACATTAGCACTGCTCTCCATCGGTGGCACATATTTCTTCAGGCTTAACTCAGGGAGTTTTTCCGGCTTTAATTTTTCAGACACTGGACAGGGAAGTTCATGATCAAAAGATAACTTTGTAATGAAAGCTGCTGAAATTCAACTCCTCTCCCAAACAGTCTAACCTCTGCTTCACGAATCTGGTGTCGTATGTGCGGGTCTAACCACTGACTGGCACCAACTTCAAAATCCCCAGTCACTGGGCCTTCCGCCGCTTGCCATTGTTGGGGAGAAAGACTCCCTCCTCCTCCTCCCCCTCCACTCCTGTCACCACCAAGCCTGGTGCGCTTGGGAGAGGGGCCTCGCTGCAGTTTCTGCAACTAAACCAACAGCCAAGAGGCACATTAGCCCTGTCAGGACCGATGGCTGGCCCTGTGGTGACACTGCTCAAGCAGGATGGCCTGGGTCAGAAGAGCCGAGGCCAGTGGAAAGAACGCATACAGCCCTCTAGTCAGGGAGACCTATGCCGGAACCGCAACCAGCATGTGTAATTAGTTTCAATTACGACAACTTTGCTTTGTTAGTTACATATTTGCTACTTGACATACAACGACAGCCACAATTGGAAAAAAAATTAGGAAACATTTCACAACTAATTGAGAGCAGATTAAATTCATTCTACTACTGGGCAACAATTACAACAGTAACACCACCCAAGTTTCAACTTCAACTACCAGCGGAGATTAGAAAAAAATAATAATAATAACGCAAAGAATGAAATACTTGTTAACAAATTAGCAGAGAGCATTTCCTGACACATCTCTGGGTTGAAAGCCAGAGCTCTCTAGGCATAAAGCGCTCCTCGCAGGGAGACCAGTGCTTCCCCAGACAACTCGCAAGCAATTACTGAATCCCCACAGAGCCAGCCTCCAGGTTGCCAAGTCAGCCCACCTGTGCACAGGGGCATACGTGGACAACAAATGGTGCCGCGCACAAGTGCGGCTCCACACCAGCCTGCAAACGGCGGCGTGCAAGTGCAAACCGCCAGCCAGGGGCTCCTGCAGCGCGGCAGCTCCGCTTTGGAAAACAAGGAGGTCCTCCTTACCTGTCGATGATCACGGGGTCTGAGGGGGTCTCGTTCCTGTTGCCACAACTTTTCTTGTCACAGCACCGGCTGCGGGAACAAACAGGGTTTCAGCAGACACAGTGCATCCGTTTGTGCCCAACTTGTACCTGCTTGTTCTGCTTTTAATTCTAATGAGGTGGGAGCAACCCAGCAAGCAACTGCAGGGCTCTGCAGGCAGCAGCTGCGACTTGCAACTGCACCACGGCCGGGCAGAGGGCACCAGGACGGTAACCCCAGCCCTGCAGAAGTTGGGACGTGCCTTGTCGCTGTCTGTCTCTGCAATGAGCGAGGAGCCGGGGAGGCAGGCGGCTGGGGAATAACTCGCACAGCCTCAGCCTGTGTTTACCTCTAATTGTCAAGCTGTTATTTCTGGAAAAGATGCAAGACGCCACCTTCAACCAATATTTCTTTGGGGCGTTTATTAATTATAAGCGTGAAAGCAGGCGTCCATCGATCACAAACTTCTGTTGTCCCTTCCTTTAAGCCTACCTTAACTCTGTTATTGAAACTTTAATTAAAGCAGAAATGAAACAAAAATGTTATGCTTCTTGCATTTTAAAAAAGCATACTTGTATAATGGTTACATGTCTAAATTAGTTAAATTAACACCATATGGTAGGCAAAGTATATAAAGCCTTTTAAAGCTGACAGCTAAAGTGATTAAAGAAAGTCTACAGTCCTCCACTTAGAGCTTAAATCACATCTGTGCGCTTTCCATGTTAATTGCAGTACATGCAGAAGTGGATAATAAAGAAATTCCACTTTATTGGTTGTAATTTATATTTATTACCTGATATGAGAAAAAGTCAGCTTTTGTATATTACTGCTGTAACAATATGTCCGCTCAGAAATGGCATTTCGCGGAGACAGACGCATAGCCAGGCAGAGTATGCCCCTCAGAGTACGCGGCCTGCTACTGTAGCTGGGCGGGCCGCTGCGGCTCCTCGGGCTGCCTTGCAACTACATTTCACATGCCACACATACAAAGTCAATGGTGCATTTTTATTTGCCGTGTAGGGCTGAGACTCTTGCGGTCGTTAGAAAAAAAATATCAGGTGGGAAATTGCTCCTGTGACAGAGCTCCGGGGCAGGCACGCTATCTAACAACACAGAGCAGGACGCACCGCCGCTCGCGGGGAGAGGTTAACTGACGGAATCACTATCCAATTCTCACTCGCGCGGGCTCTGTAACAAGTACAAAAGCGTTTCCTCTTTATCAATAACAGGCAATTGTCTATCTCGGGGTGGGAGCCAGCCGTGGCGCTGGTCCCTGACTCCGCCCGCGCCGAGACTCGCGCGCGTCCCCCGGCCCCGCGGTCCGGTTCTGACCACACCCGCGGCCAGCTGAACCCGCCCGGCCCGGCGCAGCGGAGCAGGAGTCCCGGCTGCGGCTCAGCCGCCCGGTTGCGTTTCAATCGATGCCCTCCGCCGGCGCCTGGCCGCCGCGGCCTCTGCAGAAACTGGCGCCCGCGCCCCACCCCCCGCCCCTGCTCACCTGCACATGATCTCGTGGGTCAGCAACACGCGGCACATCTCCGGGTTCTTGTCCTGGCCCTCGTACACGATGGCCTGCGCGGTGGGGGCAGAGGGAAGCGGAGGCCAGGGTTATGCGGTGCCCGCGGATTTGGCGCCAAATCATCTCTTCACCCACTCCTCGCCGCGCGGGCAGCAGGTGTGCGGCCGGAGGGGGAAAGCATCCGGAACACCAGGCCATTCTCCCGACCCGGTCACTCCGGAGCCGGGCAAGACAGCAGCGGTCTCGCCCTCCTCCTCCGCGCGCCTCCGCCTCCGCCGTGGGGCTGCACCCGAAACCCCGGGGCGGCGGGGAGCGCCGGGCGGGCAGGGCAGGGCCAGAGGAACCGAGGCCCCGGCGCAGGGAGCCCCCCACCGCGGCCCCCTCGGCCGCCCTGAAGGCAGCAGCCACCGGCAGGCCGCGTCCTCGGGGCACTGTGGACACACCGACTTCCAATCCACACGGTACAGGAAGCAGATGAGAACGCGCTGCGACTTCCCAAGCGGGGCTGGACCTCGGGGGCGCGCGTGGTCCAAGTTTGGGTCCAGCCAAGGGCCTCTCCAGCCCTGCCTGCGCGCTCCCCCGCTCGGCCAAGTCCCTGGCACGCGTTTTCAACCACGGCGTCACGGCGGGCCCCGCACGCCCCGCGCGACCACGCACGATCGGGGGGACCTGGCGCAGCAGCCACACGTGGCCGCGTGGGCCAGGGCGTGGAGGGCTCCCCGCAGGAGTCCCGGCCCCGGGGCGACCCGGTCCGCGCGGCCACGTGTTCCGCGCCGGATGATATTTGGAAAGAGAGTGCTAATAGCCAATCTGGTGTTTATTTTGAAACTGCTAACAATGATTTTTCTCGGGTAAAAAGGCAGCGTCGGCGCACACGCTCGGCTGGGTTTTGAGCAGAGGCTCCGCCAGATGGTGCGAAGCCCTAGGTGCGCCCTCGGCGGCGCTCAGCCCGGCTCCGCCGCCGGGAACCCGAGCCGGTTCTGGGGGCCGGGCCTCCGCCAGCGGCCGCTCAGAAATAGAAGGGAGGGGGAACCGCACTGGGGGAGGGGCGGGAGCTGCCAGTTCCCAGGCAGAAAATGCCACGAAAAGAGGCGGGTGGCTCTGGCTGCAGTTCCCGCCCCCTGGAAAGGATCTGGAAATTACTTCCACTCTCCCCCGGGCGCTCCGGACACGTTTTCCCCGCTTGCAGGCAACAAAGCCCCGTCTAGAGGCCGCCGAGGGCTGTCCTCCGGGGAAGCGGGACTGCTCCCCGCAAGTCCCTCTCCCACCCTGCGCTTCCGCAGCCGACCCGCGGACCCGTGCCACCGCAAACCGGCGGCACCGCACTTGTGCGCGCGCCTGTCCTCGGCCAGAGCCCCGCATTTATATGTGATTTATTTTTTATTTTGTAGCACAAACAGAAATCCATAAACTGCCGGTTCAGCGCCATTGAGTCTTTGATCAGTTACTGGGCGATTTCTTTCCTTCCCCCACCCCTTCTCGGTCCCCGTCAGTGAGCCGAGATTAAATGCCTTTATTTCCAGGCCTGTTCATACCGCAAAAGCACAAAGCTACACGGACAATGAAAGTGTGCTTGACCGCGCCTCCTCCCTCCCTGTGCAACAGCACAGAGACGCAGCGCTGTCTGCATACACCTCTTAATTAGACAACAGATTTCCGAAAACATTTAGCCCTGATACACAAAGGAAATCAAAGCGCCTGGCCGGCCAGCCAGCAAGCCCGGCTCGGGCGGCTCCCCAGCAGCCAGGGGCACACACTGCCTCCGGCTTTGTCAGACCCAGCTTTACCTGTCCCGTCTATTTTACGCCTGCAGAAAAGCAGGGTTCCTCCGGCTGTAGGCTTTAAAACCAACACCCTGGCTGCCCAGAGGGGGGCAAACTTTTTGGAAAGGCAAATAAACCCCAGGCAGGCCCGAGACCCCAGGCAGCGCCAGCCAGAAGCAGCCACTTTCACTTCCAAACCCCAGTCCCGCTCGGCAGCACATTCCAAGTCCATGCGTGCCAGGTGGGTTTCATTTAGGAATGGGAACCGCCCCCCCATCCCAGCCACTTGATTCTTAAGAAAATAGAAAATAAATAGAAATGGGAGGGGGGAAAAATCCCTAAAACCACCACCACCACCAGAAGCACCCCCGCACAAAAGCAGCAGCTGGAGGCCAGCAAAGCCGGGGGCCGGCAGGCGCCCCCTTCTCCTCACCGCCTCCCTGATAACCAGTGGTTACCACCGCAAAAGTTAGCCAAGACAGGTTAAATAATTTAATAAGGCACCGCTTGTAATTATGTTATTTACAAGGTATGACAGCGGGTGGGAGGCGGGGCAGGCAGTGGACCGACGGGGGCGACCCTGGAGCTGGGAAGTCTGAATTATGGAGATGGAGTGGGGGGAGAGGTGAAGATGGGCTAGGGTGAAACAAGCTGACTTTTCACCCCAACACATTTAACTTTTAAATCCAAATAAATGTCTCCCATTCTGGGGACCACAGCGGTGGAAAGGAGAAAGAAAAAAAAAAAGAACCAACCCAGGGACTTGGCTGCCTGTTTTTTTTGGGGGGGGGGACAGGGGACAATCTATGAGGATTGCAAGCAGAGACACGCTTAAAAATAAACCAGGGAGGACCATCCTGAAAACTCTGTCAAATATTAATTACCGTAATTAATGAAGACAGAATTTGATTCCAATCACAAGCCATTTAATAAAGCAGCTATGCCCTATCCTGCTGACAGCACCAACTCCTGCACCAATTGCTTCATTTATTCCAATAAATATGGAATTCTCATTAGCACGTCAAGGAAGCTAAGTGGGGAACAAATACGTGTGGGATGCCCTTGTCAGGCCCTGGCCCCTGAACCCAGGACCAAGCCCAAGGAGGCCACCGCACAGGCACCAACTTTCTCACCTGTTTGGTCATGGAATCTATGAGGCGGACGTACAGATCCTGCTCTGTTCTGACTCCTGCGGAGAAAAAAAAACCAACAGAGAGAAGTCCTCCTCCAGGTCTGAACGGCACTGGGGGGGGGGGGGGCGGCAAGCTCCGGCCCAGAGCCAGAAAGCCACCCCCCCCAATCGCGGCCTGATTTCTTCTTCCTCGCACCCCCCCTTCCTTTAATCAAGAACCGCAGAGCCTCTCAGGGTTCGCCTTGCGAGGTGCAAGGCTGCAAGGCATCGCGCCTGGGAGCAGGCTGGCCTGGCGGCTGAGCCGGGCGGGCACATGTGGTCACTTATTTTTAGAAAACAAAAAGCATCAAGTGGAACCTGAGTGGGAATCTGAACTCTCTCGAATGTCTCTCGAGGATTTAAAAACGAAGGAAACTCGAGCTGGAGCGCCGGGGAGTAAGTTCTGCCCGGCTTGCGGAGCTGCCCCCCGGCCCCATAATTAACATTAATTTGCCAAATTGGAAGAAGTCGCCTAGCAGCGGCGTTGCACTGGAGCCCGTATCGACCCCCTTCCCACTTTGTACTTGCAGCCCCACCAGTTAATCATGTGAAGTGGCATCGACGTATCGATCGTTTATGTTCTGTTTTCCTCCGATGCCACGGGAAGAGGTGCCGTGTCCCTGCGTGCCGCCCGCGCCCCGGGATCTCCGCGTCCTCCCCGCGCCGCGGCGGCCACTCACCGTTGCTGTACAGCAGCTGCAGTTTGTAGTGGATGCCGTTGTTGGTCTTCTCGTTGTTCGGCTCCTGAAAAGGAACCGCGGCCAGGGGCGCTGAGCGGCGCGGCCGAGGCCCCGAGGCCCTCGCCCCGGCGCGCGGCAGCCCGCGGCGCCGCCGGGTTCCCTCGGCGGCTGGAAGCCGGGCGCGGGGCGGCGAGCGGCGGCCGCGCGTGGCGACGGCGCCGGGGTCCCCGGACAGAGGCGGCCCCGCCGCCGAGGGGGGCACCGCCAGGCCCCGCGCGCGCGGCCCCGCCTGCCTCCCCACTTCTCCAAAGAGGGAGGGCGCGCCCGCACGCCGGCACTTACTTTCTCTTTCTCCACAAAGTCCACAAAAGCCGTCCGCTCGATCTCCACCGGCTGCCCTTGCCTGTCGTAGAGCGCCAGCACGAAGTGGAAGAAATTGGATTTCCGGAGGTTGGAGGGCGGCTGCTTCTCGAAGTGCGCCCGCGCCAGCCCCACGCCGCTGCGGGAGGAGAGAGGGCCGGCGGGCGCGGTGAGGCGGCGCGGCGGGGAGGCGCGGGGCCCGGGGCGCGCGGGGGCGGCCGCTACGTACCTCTGGGCGGCCGTGTTGGCGTCCACCACGCCCGCCGTGTGCATCCAGGAGCGCACCGGGTTCATGCCGCTGCCCAGCGGCTCCTCCTTCATGGTCGTCCCCCCGCGCGGAATATTCTCCTGAATCCCAAACATGAACACTGCTGGCGGCGGCCGCGGCTCCCGGCCGAAAGCGCTGGGGCGAGCGGCGGCGCTCGGGGCTCGGCGGCCGGCGGCAGCCCTGGCCGCCCCGGCCCTGCTCGGCGCCTGCGGTCCGGCCCCGCCGCCGGCTTCGGCCCGTGCCGGGCGGGCGCGGCGCACGGCAGCGGCCGGGGGCGCGCGGGCGGCTGCGGCGGCGGCGCTTCGGCGGACGCGGTGGCGGCGGCGGCGCTCGTCGTCTGCGGGCGCGCTCAACGCGGTGTCATCCTAGCCGAGGCGGCGGCGGCGGCTGCAGGACACTGCGGGATCGCCCGCTTCTGGCGCGGCCCGCCTGCTCCAAAGACAAATAAACGGGGCAGTGAGCGGCGCGGCGCAGTCCCGGGCGCAGGCGGGGCGCGGCGGGGCCCGGAGCGGCGCGCGCAGCGGACGGAGGCGCACAAAACTCAGCCCTCTCTCCCCGAGGAATGGACCCTTTCCCGGGAGCCAAAACTCGAAGCCCCCGGGAGCCGCGCTGTCAGAGGGTGACGTCGGGGGGCGGCGCCTGCGCCTTATATGGGAGCGGCCGCCCCTCGCCGCGCCCCTCGCCGCCGCCGCCGCGCTCGTCGACTGACTGCCTGACGGCGCCGCGAGCCGGCCCGAGCCCCGCGAGCCCCGCGAGCCCCGCCGCCCCCGGCCCGGCTCCGCGGCCGCCCGAGTTCCTCCTCGCCCAAACAGATCCCGAGCAGGAACAAACCCGGCCGGCGCACTCCGCGGCGCGGCCGCTCACGCTCCCGGGGAAAAAAAAAAAAAAAACAGCAACACAAACTCGCCACACAGTCTGAGCGGGAGGGGCGGGAGTGCGCCCCAAGTTGTCCGAGCGCGCCACAGCTGCCCGGGGGCGTCCCGGGGGGAGGAGCGCGAGGGGCAGGTGGGGCCGCGGGGAGAGGGCGCGGGTCCGGGGGAGGGGCGGCGCGGCTCAGCCGGGGCTGGAGGCAGAGCTCGGGCTGCCGCGCGCCCCGCCTGCCCGGGTCCGAGCCCCGCCGCGCGCCCCGCGCTTCCAGCGCCGGAGCCAGGCGTGCCCGTCGGACGCGCGTTCCAGCCGGCGCACCCTGCTGCCCCAGCGGCCGCAGGAGCCCCGGGTCCGCGGCCCGTCCGGAGGCGTGGCGAGTGACAAAGGCGGCTCCGGCCTCTCCCGGCCGACGGGAAGCGCACGCGGCCCCGCCGGAGACCTGGGGCCGCTGGCCGTGCCTCCCGCCTCGCCGAGCGCTCCGGTGGCCGAGCGGGCGCCACGGGCGCTGGGGCGCTGCCCTCCGTGCCGCCCGGCCTCGCGGCGCGCGCCTGCCCGACCTAGCTTCGAGGAATCCAGAGGACGGCCCCGCGCTAGCGAGCGCCCGGGCAGGGCGGCCCAGCGCGCTGTGGCCACCGGAGCGCGGCCCGCCCCGAGGACGGCCCTGCGACCGGAGCCGGGACGGGGGTGGGGGTGGCTGTCCGGGGCACTTCCCCGCTGTTGTCAGAGCAAAAAGCAAAATAAAGTGCTTCCGGGGAGCGAGTGTGTGGCCCGGCGGGGTCTCCCGCAGGCTCTGGGTGCCGCGACTTTTTTGTGTGAATTGACAGCGTGTGTACGTTAATATTTTAATTAATCGGGGAGATCGAAGTACGACGCACGTTGTGTGGGCACCCCCCACGCCTCTTGGAAGAGGTGGAGGGAAAAAAAAAAGACGTGTTGGGCAGCAATCTATTCTGCTGGTGTTGAGGGTTAATGAGTATTGCCAAAGATAAGTGAATTAGCAAAGCTGTTGCGCCAGTCCCATCTCCAAATCCATTACGGTGCCGGCCGTCTAATTAAATACGTAAGTATAATAAAATCATACTTTATGACTATTTGAGGGTAATGAGATCAGTCTTCGGAAGCGATCGCCACATATTAAAGATGCCACTGTATAGAATGTTAATAACGTTAAATCAAAGTGTATGGAAACTATCGACGATAAATTGAAAGAGAATCCCCGTCTCCCGAATCGGCGGACCCTGGTGGAGGAGGCCAGGCTGTCCCTCCGCCCCGGGCCCAGGCCGGTAAAGTTGGCCACCGCGGAGGGCGGGGTCGGGATGCTTTGTCTGCGCCGCGGAGCTGCTTCCGGGGCTCGCGCAGGACGCGCGGCCGGGGAGCCTTATTGTCAGGGTATGCAAAGTGTCTTTTAGGGAAAGATGAAGTTGGAAACGCCAAACAATGCTTCCTTTGTGGCGTGCTCGCTAAAACGCCCTGCCCGCGCCGGAGGTGCCCTTTCTTGCGCAAAGGAAAAAGTATCGCGCTTAAAATCATTTACAGTATCTTTAATTCAGATTACACGCGCCAGGGCGATTTAAATCTGATTACCAAATTAGGAGGTTTAAAAAACAAATCCTTCTAAATCTGATACTGTTGACTAAAGAGGGAAAAAAAAAAGTTCTGTCAGCCCATCGCATAAGGTAACGATCCTGCCCCAGAAAGAAAAGGGGTTTTAAACCTTTTTGACAACAAATGCAGCTGCCCCACTATTTTGGACGATATTAAGCGAAAATGAATGCAAATCTGTGTTCAGCAGCCATCTGGCCCGAAATGGGGGAATCAGCTGCTCTCACAACAGGCTCGGAGGCTGAATCCATTTCAGCTCATTTTCTACATCATCTGGTCCCGCACCCAAAGCGTGGAAAATACGGTCTTTATCATTCACCAACTTTATCTTTTTTGTCACTCCACTGCTGCCTCCGAGCTGTGGGCACCAGGACTAGGCACCCGGGCAGCGTCTCCACCTCGGCCTCCGCGGAGGGGCCCGGGAGGGCCGCCCCCACCCTCCCAGCTTGGCTGCGAGCGGCGGAGGGCAGCGCTGGCCAGGGAGCGCCCAGGCGGTGGCTGCGGGCCCCTCCGCGGGCGTCCTGCGGGCTGCTGCCAGGGCGTCCCCGCGCGCCGCCGGTTCCCTCGGGAGCCGAGTCTCCGCCCCTCGCCCTCTCCAGGGGGACGCCAGGCGCCTGGTACCCAGGAACCTGCATCAGAAGGGGAGCAGGCCGGTACTTGGGAAGTTGTGCGGGCCCAGGGCGGCCGGCGGGGTCGCCCCCACGCCCGGAGCGCTCCCAGGGGCCGGGCGGCGCCTGACCTTCACCGGGGATCCCCCCGGCGGCGGCGAGCGCTCAGGGCCCAGCGCCCAACGCGATTTGCACGGGTGGCCCTCGCGCGGTCGCCGCCACCGCCTCCTCCTCGGAGGGTGGGAAGTCTTCCTTTTGTGCGGATTTACGGGGAGAGGCTTCAATGAGCCCCCTCACATTTGCATTTAAATAGCGGCATCAAGCGCTTCGCGTGCCACACACCAGTGGGCTCCCAGATGTCAAGCCGAAGTCAGTCAGATGGCCAGTGCCCAGCTGTCCTCCCCACGTCGTGCCGGAGCAAGCCGTGACCTTAAAGAGACAGCGCTCGCAGCCCCTGGCTCCCCGCCCGGGGAGCGGCGCGCTGGACGCTAGGCTGAGCCGGCGAGGCTGACCTGAGCAGCACCTCGCCAAGCCTGGCCGCCGACTCAGGGCCTGCACCCAGGCCCACCCCTGCCTCCCGGCCCAGCCACCGAGTACCTGGTGCCCCACGTCCTGCCTGCCACGGGGCGGGAAGGAGGAGAGGGAGACGAAGGGCTGTCTCCTGGGTGCGCGCCACAAGGGAGTTTGTCCTTCACACCTCTCCCTGTCTTGTCCTTCGCTGCTGCGCCCAGCAAGGCCTGGAAAGGGGTGGCTGGGCTAGTGCCCGCCTCCCAGTCGCCCCTATTCAACCAAGGGGATCCTGCAATCGCACTGGCGCTGACCCCGCATCCCTGACACCCTTCTTGCTTGCGTCCCGCCCGCCGATCTCCCTACCATCTTTTCAAAAAGTCATAAATTACACATCCGGCCCTGAGAAGCCGGGCACGGAGCGGCTGCAGGCGGAGCCACTTAGGGAGCGCGGGGGCGCGGGGAGGGGGGGGAGGCGCACAGGCTGGGCCAGGTGCAGGCCTCAGACAGCCCAAGGCCACAGCCTGGTTATGTCACTTGGACCCCCGGAAAGGGCAAGAGCCCAGGCCCCCGAGGCCAAAGGTGCCCGTCCCTGCCGCCTGAGCCAAGCTGCAGAAGCATCCCACGTCCTCCACGCCGGAGGTCACGCGCCGCCAGGGCAGGCCGCTGGGCCACCAACCGTTCCCCAAAGCCCCGGGTGGGTCTCTGCTAAGCGCGAAGCACAGGTCTGCTAGAAGAAAGAACTCGAACAGGCAGAGCCAGCCTGACCCTCAGTCCGTCTGGGCGGGAAGGAGGCCAGAGGGTTGGGAAAGATGTACTGCGTCCAGGATTGCCTCTGAGGTGCCGGATCAGGTGGAACCGCCACGCACTAGCACGCTCTGCCTGGCCGCCCGGGCCCCAACATCTGTCCTGCACCGCGGGCCCGGGACGCCCCAACCTGTTAAGCAGCTCACCAAGCCGGAGCTGAGCCCTGCTGGACTGGGTCTCCCTGGCCAGAGAGCTCGCGTTCGCTCTCTCCACGGAGACACAAGCCCGCTGGGCCCTTGGGAGCATCGGGCAACAGAGCCCAAGTCAGGCCCTGCGCCCCGCCTGCCCTCGGAGGCGAACAACTGGGAGCATGTCGCCCTGGCACACGGGGTACCCCGAGGACTCCTCCGCGCCGTGCGTAGGTGGCAAGGTCCGGTTTGGGGGTCTGGGTAGAAAGCGAACAGCTGAAGTCTTTCACACTCCCACTACTCCACACCCCTCCCCCATGTTTACTCTGCGCCTCGAAGGCTCCTCCAGCCCCACCGCCCACTACGGAAGAAAGCTCAATTCTCCAAGTGAAACCAGGCAGGCGCGCCGCCTGCCAAGGCGACCAAATTTGACAAACAGCGCCTCCTGGGGTGGGCAGAGTGGAGTGCCGCGGCGCCGCCGACAGCCCAGCCCGCCCCCAACCCCGCCCGGGGCAGGTGGCTGCCAGGGTTCCAGTCCTGGCCCGCCGCTGGGCCCCGCGTCGGACGCACCTAGGCCTCTCGGAACCCCAAACCCCAGGGTGCGCAGAAACCGCTCCACACGCTGCAGCCCTAATTGGCACCCACGTGCGCCTGTAGAAATCGGGCGGAGCAGGGCATCCGACACGCGGCCCGGGCGGCGAGCGCCCGCACGCGCCCGCGCTGCCGAGAAACCTGCGCTCCCGGCGCGGGGCCCCGCGAGGAACCGCAGCCGCATCCCGGAGCTCGTCCTCGGCAATGACCACTCTGAAACACCCGCGGCAACGCCAGGCCACGCATCGACGACCCGCAGCGTCAGGAACTGGCAGAGAACCCCTTCCATTGGCGTTTCCAACCCCTTACTTTGTCCTGGCTCCTTCGCTCACTTTCGCTGACCCCACGGTTCTGAGTCAGCCCCGGGGCCTCCTAACCACAGCAGGAATCCCCAATCACGCACGCAAGAGCGTGGCCTTCCCCCAACGCACCTTGGCCACCTCCAAGGTCGCCTCGCAACAGAACCGGCTCTGGAGGAGCCACCGAGTTGGGAAGACAGCAGCTGCGAGGAGCGGTCCCGTGGACCCACAAAGGCCCGGCGCTTTAGCAACGACGGCGGGTTTTCCGGGCTGCGGTCAGAACCGCCCCAAGGCTGGCAGGGAGAAGGCGCCCCCGCCAGCGCCTGGGACCCAGATTTGCCTCGCGGCCGCCCGCCCCCACCAGTTTATAAAGCAAACTTTCCCCCAGAGAAGTTTCCCGATCGAACGGCGCGCAAAGTGCGCCAATCAACACCTAAACAGACCCACACCGTACAAACACGGATCGATCAGATAATTTCAAATATTATAATTGGCTTTAATTAAACACACTGCGTTCTAATTAACTCTGAAATTTTAGCATGCTTTGGGACACTGGTGTCTGATTTGATATTGTCAGTCCAGATGTCCTAATAAAATTCAATCCTCCACTCAAGACTTCAATATTCGCTAAGAACAAAATGCAAATTAAATGTAAAACCTAAAGTATCGCCAAAGGTATAATCAAGAAAGGTGTCTCAAAACTTCTCACTTTTTATTACGCAGTACTTAAAAAATGCAGATTACATCTGATCAAGTCCGCTCCAAGAGGCCATAAATCTTAACTCTTTCCTGGACGGGGCGGAGAGCTGCGCCGCCGGCGCGCGCAAGCAGGGAGGCGGGCAACCAGAGTCACGCGCTGGGCACCCGCACCTGGAGGCGAGCGCCACGCCCAAGTGAGCAGAGGGACCCGGGAGAAGAGGTGAGGACACAGGCAGCCACGCGCCTCGACGGACCAAAGCCTACGGGTCCGCGGTTCCTCCCACGCCCTAACGGGGCACACGCGCCGCCGTCCTGGGGCACAGGAGGGCGGTGGTGGATGCGGGCAGCCGGGCCGGGTCTCTCTCCCGCACCCCGACCCGACCCCCCAGGGGAACACGCTCGGCTTTGGGAGTCCCCACGACGAGGCGAGCGGAGCGGAGCGCACGCCGCGCTCACGCAGCAGCGCGCCCAGCCCCGGTGCCCTCGCGCGCACTGACCCCGTGGCCCACATCCGCGCGGTTTCCGAGGGACTCCTGCACGCGGACCCCGCCGGCGGCGCGCCGCGGTAGGACGGCACCGAGGGCGGGCGCGCGCCTCGGGCGGCCTGATTCTTCCCCGGTTCGGAGGGTCGGCAGAACGTGCTGACCAGAAAGAGATGTGTTCAAAGGCAGCTATTCCCACATTAAACATGAGTACGTTTCCATACTAACGGAGTCACTTAAAGCTGTTGCTAATTTAACTTTTTAAAAGGCCACACTGTGGAAATTTGCATTTTCTTTAGGATATTGAAATGAAGAGGAAAGTGCTGGGCGGCAAAGCTGCCCAGGGCATAGCTGGGGGCCATGCAGAAATAAAAACAGAAAAAGAAAAAAGAAAGAAAGCAGTTTCTCTTCTAGACTATTAATAAGCAATTTGTCCCGCTGAAATTTACATTGCAAAGAGCAGCGGCGGGGCCGGCTCAGGCGGGGGCATCGCGGCGGGGCGGGGGCAGCCTTCGGCCGTCGGGGAGGCCCCCCGCCCCCGGGGTACTCGCGGTATTCGATGGCAGCTTTGAGCTTGGACCACCATCCACCGCACCCACTCGTACGTGCTGGCCCCTGCCCCGCAGGGACGCGCGCCCGTCTGCAGCAGCGCCCACTGCCCCGGGGCCCAGGGGCAGCGGGCCCGGGAAGGGGTGTCCCACGGGGAGTCAGTCGGTTCGCTTTCCTGGAACGCTGGGGACTCGCAGAGCGCCTCCTCCCCTCCCTCCAATCCACGCGCGCACGCACTCGCGCCCACGCGGCCGCCCGGGCTCCCACGGCAGCAATCGGCGCCGTTGGGGCGGCCCGCGCCGGGCCGTCGTGGCCCCGTGAGCCGCGCGCCTGGCGCCCGCGCCCCCGTCCGCGCGCCGCCGGCCCAGCCGCGGCTCCCGAGCCTAGCGTGGGGCCAGGGCGCCATCTACGGGCGTCGCGCGGCTCCCGCTCGCTGGCCGCCGCCTGGCCACGGTCACGCGACGCTCCCCGCCACGCTGGGCGTCGGAGACCCCGGCCGCCGCTCGGCCAACTCGGAGGCGCGCGGCGCAAACTTTGGGAACCAGGGTGTCCTCCCGGCTGCGACTTGTAGGCGCAAGGCCGGGGACCCGCAGCACCAAGACGACGCAGTTTTGATTTGTTAGTCTAACCGCGGGTTGAGACTTGATGTCCCCGCAGACCGGGCGAGCTTTCCCCTTTATTTATTTTTATTAAAACATCAATCTGGGCTGGAGCTGGGTGAACTCGGTTTCACCTGGAGAACATAAAATTCCCCATACCAGAGAAATAAGCACCTTTCATAAATCAATGGTATTCCTGGCACATCGATCAATTTGGGGTTGTTAATCCGAAAGGAGGAGTTTTAATTGCTTCCTGCGTTCTAGTCCAGGCACCTCGGCGAGTCGACCTTTCCTGGCCTCCCTCCGAGGGTCTCACGTGTGTGGGGGGGTGGGGGCTGGAGAAGCCCCGGGACCATCAGTTATCCGCCCGCCCCGCCCCAGAGCCAGCATCTCCACCCGCACCTCCCCCGCACCACCGGAGCCGGGGGGCGGGGCGGGGGTCGCGGCGCAAAAGTTCACGAGGGGGCCAGGCCCGAGCGCCGCCCAGGCCCCGGGGACCCGCGCCCCGAGTCCAGCCCAGGACGCACCGGGAAGGGCTGGGGAGATCGCGCCCCGCGCCCACAACGCTCCAAGTTCAACTTTGCCGGCGTCCGCGGCCGCCCGGGACCCGGGGTGGCAGGGAGGGACCCGACGGGGTCGCACCGCCCCCTCCCCACCCCCGCAAGCTTACCTGCGTCCCTGCGGCCGGCGGCCCGGGGCGCCCGGGGCGCGAGGTGTGCGGCGCCGGCGGCGGGCGGGAGGGTGTGCGGCCCCGCGCCTTCGCACGTTCCCGCCTCCCGGGAGAGCCCTCGGGGCCGCGAGCGCGCCAGTGCGCAGGCGCGCGCCGCCTTCCACCGCGGGCAGCGGCAAGGCGGGCGGGGGGCGCGCGGGCAGCGGGGCGCCGGGTGCCCGCAGCGTGCTCGAGGCGGGCGCAGCTGCAGCCCCGGGGCCGGCGCCGGGCCACTTGCGGGACCCCTAGGCGGGGAGGACCCACGGGTCCCCTCTGACGCGCACTGGGCCCGGGGCGTGTAGGTGGTGGACACAGCTCTGCCGGGACTGACGTGGGCGCACTCCCACGGACACGTCCGGTCCCACTGGACAGCTCAGGCCCCGGGCCTTTTCGGTAAGAGGTTTGCCTTGCGCACACAGGTTGAGCAGTCCTCTCCCAAGGCCCTGGTGACCAGGGTGAAATGCAGGGCCAAGGGCCGGGGGCCTGCAGTGGACTGCCCAGTGGAGGGTCTGGCCCGTCCCGGGCTCGCTCCACTGGAGGCGGCCTCAGCTGTGGCTCGGGCGCACCAGTGCCCAGCCATGAGCACGATGGCACCTGCTATCCTGCCGCTGACCACCAGCCACACACTCAGGTCCTGCAGGTGTGGGCGAGCCCGGCCTTATGCCCGGTGCTGCTTCCCAGTGAGTGTGCCACTTGCCGTGTGGCACTTGGGAGACCCCTGCCTGGACCCCAGAGCCCTCCACGCCCAAGCCTTCGCTGGCCGGCCCTGGCAGCTGGGGAATGCTGCCTCCTGTGCTGGGCACACTGCCAGGGCGCGGGGAGCCTCACCCCGTGCCCCGCCCCCAGCATTCCCAGTCCGTTTCTGGCTCCTGGGTTTACTTTGCACTTTGGTTTCAACCTTTTATGATGGAAGCAGGAGAATGTGCGACTCGTGCAATCTTTCTGGCAGCGGAAGTTATTTTTGGTCGTGTGTTTAGTCCAAAAACACTGCGAGAATGCCAGCCAGCAGTGCGAGATCACTCCGTGCAGGAAAGAACTAAGTCAACACACTTCTGTATCATCTTCACTTGGGACTTTTTTATGTTTAACATTTATGTGCTTTTATTGGAAAGATTGGAAAAATTTTACAGAGAAGGAAAATTCTTCCATCCACTGGTTCACTTCCCAGGTGGAGCTGAGCCGATCTGAAGCCAGGAGCCAGGAGCTTCTTGAGGTCTCCCACATGGGAACGTGGGCCATTCCCCACTGCTTTCCCACACGGTGGAGCAGCTGGGACACACACTGGCACCCACATGGGATCCCAGCACACGCAAGGCGAGGACTACAGCCACTAGGCTACTGCTCTAAGCCCTGGGAGCCAGTATGAAGCCATTGAAGTAATAAATGATAGTAAGATAAGAAGTTACCCACAGTTTTGATAACCGCCAACATGCCTTGCATGTTACGGGCCAGACACAAAGACTGACCCAAACTCAAATTCAGGGACGTGTGATTGCCACGTTCTTAGGAACGTGCCAAGCTACTTGGCACAGGCCTGCCAAAGCAGCAGAGGACAGCTCTAATGCCTGGTCCCTTGTGCCCGCCTTGGAGACCTAGAAGAAGCTCCAGGCTCCTCGTCTCAGCCAGGCACAGCCCTGAGTCAGCCATATGGTGCTGGGGAGGCCGAGTCAGGGAGGGGGCCCCAGGAGCCACCTTTGCTGGTTTCATCTGCCTTGGCCAGGGCTCCCTCCCTGCCCCTGTGGATGCACAGCTCCCCCGCTGCTTCTCCAGAGGCATCTGCAGGAGCCCCCATTTGCTCTTTCCCGCTTGCCCCTCTGAGGCCACAGCGCTGGACCCCTCCCCATGGCCTTGCCCTGGGCAATTGGCTTTGTTCTAGTGGGAACTCTGCTGGTGTGAGCTTTGGGGTCCGTGCAGTGGATGTGGGGGACACGAAGGTGTGAAGAGTATTGTTCCATTGCAGGCAGGGCCGCAGGGAACTTCCCGTTGTTTGGCAGGGCCGGCGGATGTCTCTACAACCACCTGAATGCAGCTCCACCTCCCTGTGCATGGACACCGGACCACCCTGCGGAAGAACTCTAATCCATCCAGGCATTGTTTGCTGCTGTGAGGCTGGCCTTTGACTCAATGTGAGCTTGGAGGTTAATGTCAATAATAACGTCTTGCAAAAGGGCCTTCTATTATTCCTACTGTATTGGCTGTCCCCATTGACCTTATGCTAATCAAGGGGCCTATATTTAGGCTTTCATTCTTTCCTCTTTCTTTTTTTTTTTTTAAGATTTATTCATTTTTATTACAAAGTCAGATATACAGAGAGGAGGAGAGACAGATCTTCCGTCCGATGATTCACTCCCCAAGTGAGCACAACAGCCGATGCTGTGCCGATCCGAAGTCAGGATCCAGGAATTTCTTCCGGGTCTCCCATGCGGGTGCAGGGTCCCAAAGCTTTGGGCCGTCCTCGACTGCTTTCCCAGGCCACAAGCAGGGAGCTGGATGGGAAGCAGGGCCGCCGGGAATAGAACCGGCGCCCATATGGGATCCTGGGGCGTTCAAGGCGAGAACTTTAGCCGCTAGGCCACGCCACCAGGCCCCTCTTTCCTCATTCTTTAGGTTCCCCTTTTCTTTGTGACACAAGATTGAGTTGTAGGGTAAGAATTGTAGCAGGAACTTCTATTGTTTTTAGGTAAAACAAATGGCAGAATTATCCTTAGAAACACCCACTTGACCATGACGTAAACAGTCTGAGCCAGAGTTTGACTGTTTCTGTATAAAGGAAGCACACAGCTTGCCCGCGTTGTCCATTATGATCATGAAGTCCTAGTGGTCCGTCTTTCTTTCCTCTTTGTGCCTCATCCACGCACCCTTCGCGAGTTCCGAACCCAGCTGGAGCTGGACTCCAGTAGTGAGCTACAGAAGGAGGAGCTGGGTGGCCAGCAGAGTCCATAGGTAACAGCCTGGAGGCCTCAGAACTCAGCATGCCAGCCCTCTCTATGTCTCTTCTGTCTGTGCCCCTCTGCCCTCCCCACCCCACACCCCAGGTGCCTGCGCTCAGGCACTTACAGCCGGGCCGTGTGCACACAGGTCATCCTGAGGCACGTGAGCCAAAGGAGACTGCTGTGTGCTGCCTGCGCTGGGAGAGCCCGGAGTAGGCTGACTGGCCAAGTCCCAGGCCCTTCATGCACAAGGAACCCATGTTCAAATCCCCCGACCACTGCAGTACCCAAAACACATCCATGGATGTTGATATTCAAGCCGGTTTCCATGTTAACTTCATAGATCTCTTTTTTCCCAAGATTCCAGTTTTATTTATTTGAAACTCAAAGTGAGAGAGAGAATTGTCCATCTATTGGTCCATTCCCCCAAATGGTCACAATGCCTAAGGCTGTGCCAGCCCAGAGCCAGGAGCCTGGAGCCCCTCCTAGGACTCCTGTGTGGGTGGAGGTTCCCAAACACCTGAGCCATCCTCAGCTGCTTTCCCAGGCCACAAGCAGGGAGCCGGATCAGAAGTGGAGCAATTTGCCTGGCACAATGGCTCAGTGGCTAAATCTTCACCTTGTGTGTGCCAGGATCCCATATAGGTGCTGGTTCTAGTCCTGGCTGCTACACTTCCCATCCAACTCCCTGCTTGTGGCCTGGGAAAGCAGTGGAGGATGGCCCAAGGCCTTGGGACCCTGCACCTGCGTGGGAGACCCAGGAGAAGCTCCTGGTCCTGGCTTCAGATCAGCTCAGCTCTGGCTTGGGAAGTGAACCAGTGGCTGGAAGGTCTTTCTCTCTATATCTCCTTCTCTTTGAATTTTTTTTTAAGGAGAAGAAGTGGAATGGCCAGGTTTTGAAGCAGAGCCCATAGGCATGGGCTTAACTTGCTGCCCTGCAATGCAGGCCCCAACTTTTACTTCTTTTTTTCCATGATGAACAATGTGCCTGGAACGTCACCCCCAACCAGCAAGTGTTTTATCTATGGGACAAAGTGGCAACTGGGTGCCAGCAACGACATGTGCCAGGCTATAGGCACAGACCCAATGGGAGGGGGGCCACCTCAGAAACTTGGCAGAGCTGCGTCAGCAACCCCACCCAGGAAGACAGAGCCTCATATAGGTGTTTCAGAGCCCAGGTGCGTGCCTGGGAGCCCCGTGACACTGGTGTGGACAGGGTGTGTCTCACCTGACCCTTGGCTGTCAGCACAGAGCCAGGCACAGCGTCATGGGCTCAGCCGCACTTGGTGAGGCAATTGAATTTGTCATCCCAGCTTTGGGAAGACTACCCAACTTCAGTGTGCTGCAGCCCCGTGGGGGAGCTGAGCATGGGGAAGGGATGGAGGGGCAGTGGTCACAGCAACAAATCCACCCTCTGTCCTGCTGCTGATGGAGAGTGGACCAGGTAGGCACTGAGTGTCCTGTTCATGTTGACTGCCTCCCACGCACAACATGTGACGGCAATACGAGCTCATCGTCAGAGTTCCAGAGAGAGCATGCCCGTTGGCCAGGCTGGCTTCCATAGCAAGCCAGGAACCAAGTGTGCTGGTCCCAGGAGGAGAAGGCTCCCTTCCCTGGCAGGCCAGCATCCATCCGGAAGTGGATGCACCTGCCACAGGCGCTCACTGGGTGGCCTGGAAAGCATTGCTTCTCCTGCAGAGGGGGATCCTGGCCCTTCGGGAAGTCTTGAGTCTTCCCACACTCCAATTCTGCCTTTCAGTTCTGGCCCACTGTGTCTCCCTGTGCCCTGGCTAGATGGTGACTTCTCACTGTGACGGCTTGTCCTCTGGGGGTATGCAAGATGGTGCCTGTCCCTCTCCCTGGAAGCAGAGGTGCCCAAGGCCACGCCTGGGGAGCAGCAGAGCCCCACGCTGGGTCACCAAGTGTGGGAACCCCACCTACTCTACTGGGCGTGCATGCACACGGTCTGTGCTGTTAGCCCCTGATGCGTGGGAAACACTTCCAGCAACTGGCTCACACCAAGCTGACATGTCCAGTCTTAAGCACTCCTTGAGCCAGAGACTTCTGTCTTGCAACCTTGGTGTGTGGTCTGTGCCGTTGGGGGACCCTCGGTGACAGGAGGGGGCCTGGACTCCTGTCTTGTCTGGCTCTCTGTGGAACCTGCTAAAATGCTCAGGAGAGCTGTGCTCCATGTGAAGGCTAAATGACACCTGCTTAGAATACACAGCTCAGGAATTACAGAAGAGGGACCACACCCAGGCCACTGACACTGTGCGGCAGTTCCATCCCGCCTTTCCAAATGTGTGTAAGTGCTT